GATGAATTAAGTGTTATTGTGAGAGCAGTTACGACTTTTTGTTTAAGTGTTTGATATGTTGTCGTGTTAGGATTATTTAGTTGTTGATCGAAAGTACCGGCGAGTTTAAGACTACCGTTAAAGATATCTCCACGTTGACAATGAGTATCTGATTGAAGTCGTGTTTCAGATAATACACTATTAGAATAATATCCGATCTTACAGCTGCAATAGTAGTTATTATTATATATGAGACAGCTTGCTTTGGTATCGCAGTTATTATTTCCATAGCAGGTAACAATCGGAGTACAAGAGATACCATTTCCGTAATAGCCAGATTTACAACGACAACGGAATGATCCAAGAGTATTAATACATTGAGCGTTAGTGTGACAGTTATCTAGATTATTTGAACATTCGTCTATATCTGTACAAGATATTAATCCGTTTCCAGAGAATCCAGTATTACATAGACAGTCGTACGATCCGTTCGTATTAACGCAGTTCGAGTTATTACTACACATGTTAACGTTATTAGTAATACATTCGTCGATATCTTGACAAGTGATGCCGTTACCTTTGTAACCGTTATTACAAGTACACATATACGATCCAATAGTGTTATTACAGTTTGCGTAGATAGAACAGCTGTAAGTTTCTGTTGTACACTCGTTAATATCGTTGCAAGATATTCCGTTACCCGAAAATCCTATGTTGCATTGACAAGTATAAGATCCAATCGTGTTATTACAATAAGCGTGGATTGAACATCGATGTACTTCTGATAGACATTCATCGACATCGTTACACGTTCTACCATCGCCTACATATCCGTTATTACATTGGCACGTATAAGATCCGACTGAATTAATACATTGAGCGTTAGTGTGACAGTTATCTAGATTATTTGAACATTCGTCTATATCTGTACAAGATATTAATCCGTTTCCAGAGAATCCAGTATTACATAGACAGTCGTACGATCCGTTTGTATTAACGCAGCTCGAGTTATTACTACACATGTTAAGGTTATTAGTAATACATTCATCGATATCTTGACAAGCGATGCCGTTACCTTTGTAACCGTTATTACAAGTACACATATACGATCCAATAGTGTTATTACAGTTTGCGTAGATAGAACAGTTGTAAGTTTCTGATATACACTCGTTAATATCGTTGCAAGATATTCCGTTACCCGAAAATCCTATGTTGCATTGACAAATATAAGATCCAATCGTGTTATTACAATAAGCGTGGATTGAACATCGATGTACTTCTGATAGACATTCATCGACATCGTTACACGCTTCTACCATCGCCTACGTATCCGTTATTACATTGGCACGTATAAGATCCGACTGAATTAATACATTGAGCGTTAGTGTGACAGTTATCTAGATTATTTGAACATTCGTCTATATCTGTACAAGATATTAATCCGTTTCCAGAGAATCCAGTATTACATAGACAGTCGTACGATCCGTTTGTATTAACGCAGTTCGAGTTATTACTACACATGTTAAGGTTATTAGTAATACATTCGTCGATATCTTGACAAGTGATGCCGTTACCTTTATAACCGTTATTACAAGTACACATATACGATCCAATAGTATTATTACAGTTTGCGTAGATAGAACAGCTGTAAGTTTCTGTTGTACACTCGTTAATATCGTTGCAAGATATTCCGTTACCCGAAAATCCTATGTTGCATTGACAAGTATAAGATCCGATCGTGTTATTACAATAAGCGTGGATTGAACATCGATCTACTTCTGATAGACATTCATCGACATCGTTACACGTTCTACCATCGCCTACATATCCGTTATTACATTGGCACGTATAAGATCCGGCTGTATTATTACAATTAGCGTTAGAATCGCATTGATTTGTTGTAGAGCATTCGTTGACGTCTTGGCATGTAAATCCGTTTCCAGAATAACCAGTACGACATATACAAGTATAAGACCCATTATTGTTATAGCAATCGGCATTAACGGAACATGAATGAGTTCCTGATGAGCATTCGTTATTATCTGTACATGTAATTCCATCGCCTGTGTATCCTTGCGTACAATGACACGTGTATGAGCCGTTAGTA